CCGGTTACAATCTTTGAAAATAGTCATACTGTGAAATGACTAAACACACCCTGCTTGCTGTATTCTTAACATTTTAGCTTTGTAGCTCATACATTCAGAGAAGACAGTTCAGAAGAGATTTTATTATATTAGTGTGAGAAATAAAATCAGTGTTCAACAAATTCACATTTGCTTGCTTTTGACAAGCTTTTTTAATTTTTTTTTTTAGTAAAGCTGCTATGTTTATTCCTAAAGCTGCAGTGACTTCATATAAGAAAAAAAAGAAAACAACAAAACAAAAATCACGTTATTGTAACCTTAGTAGTGGGACATTTGCTGATGCATGAGTTGACAGCCTGGCAGTCGGGATACATTAGCTCGTGTGTAAAACGAAGCACTCTGCTTATTGCAGATCAGTAAGTTGCATTCTTTGTTTTCAGAGGGCTTACTATATGAAGAGCTAAGCCCTGTGGGGGCTGCTGAAAGCCAAGCATATTAGCGATCTTAGCTTCAGCCAAAGGCTTCTGCCAGAAAATCAATAAGAACCTCACTAGCTCCAGTAACAAAAGCTAAAATAAATAAATAAATTAATTAATAAAAAACCACAGGCTGAAAAAAATATGGAATTTCCAGATGAATGGCAAAGTTGAGATTTTCATAATTTGAGTTAAATATGTATGACAAACACCCCTAATATTCAGAGTCTTAAACTTACCTGATTTAGTCTTTTCAACATTTTCTTTTCTTATTTGCAGTTGCAAATGCTGAAGAGGAGCTAATTCCCTTACTGCTGTCAATGTGATGGTCTAGCAATCCAGCTTAAAGGCTGATCATGCAAAGCAACCTCTCCCACAGCTCTCTGCATGAAACTGCTGTGCTTCACTCATAAAACAGATTTAATTAGACAAAAGGATGATGGGAACTTTCCAAGATCCATAGCTGTGGTGCATGGCTTTTAAACAGAGCTAGTGAGATGCAGCATAGGATGCTAAAATGGTGTGCTGTGATTTGTATGTCTACTACTTTTTTATTCTTTTTTTCTGTATTATTAATAAGATTAGGATTTATTCTAATGAAGAATTTATTATTTTCAAAAACATTTTTCCATTTGAATTCTCAGCTACATCAACTTAGAATTGTATCCATGTTCACGAACGATCAAATCTTTTCAACGGCTCTTTACAACGAACGATAGGAGCCGAGCCGCGGGTAGTCATGAGCCATTTGTAGTTTTATTTACAGTATTTTATTCCTCTTATAATCTTTATTTTTTTCATCCTTAAATTGCTCCCACTTTGCTTTTTCACGGAAAACAGGCAGAGCGATGGAGTACTGAGGCTCACAGGAAAGGAGGAGAGGGGTTTATGCTAGACAAAACACATGGTTCCACCCACGTACCGTGATGATGTCATCACATCGCCATACGTGATGATGTGTTTCCCTACGTGATGACGTAACTTGTTCAAAATCGAATGGCTCTTTTGAACGGCTCTATGAAACAAACAGGTCCCCAAGATCCGAATCCCTTCAAAGAGCCATTTATCCCATCACTAATCCATACCCTTAGCTAACAGTGTCAGTGAGCTCGCTCTGATGCTACTTTCATAGAAATAATACAGGCAGCATGAGCTTTAGTTTGACTTCGCAATTGGGTTTTGCAAAAATCCTATCTTGTGCACTTAACTGTTAGTAAAACTATCAATAATTAATATTTGTCACTTAGCAATTACTGCAGTTAATACCATGTAATGATGTCGTTATCAGGCCATGTGAGCCCAATAGTGAAAGGACGTAAGGAGGAGTTAACCCTAATCTTAAATGAACTTGCTAATTACTTGAAACACTAGCATAAAGCAGAGAATGAGGAAATCCAGAAAATGCGAACCAAAGCCGCAATGTTAATCGCAAGTTCATTTGTCATCCATTTATTGTCACATTATTTGTTCTTGACTGAAAGCCTAATTTAATTGTAACACATTTTTATGTCAGTTTTGCCCAACCTACTTTGCTTTATTTCTTCCAGTAAAACAACGGGAATATCACATGTGGAAAATGTCATGAATTTATTTTGTTGCATTGAATCATACATTTTTAATCTTCCATTGATTTAATCCATGGGCCGGATGTGTCCCCTTCCATAGAGGATCATGTGTGAAAAACAAATTCTTTATTTCATTTTATTTTATTTTATTTTATTTTATTTTTTAGCTTGGACTAAGTCCTGGGAATGTGACAGCAGCAAATGAACTAGAAGGTCGTCAACAATATATTGAGTTTTATTTGGACTGGTATCATTCTGTATGATGTACCGGTAATGTTTGTCATTTTAAATACATATAGTTTACTGTGTATTGTCTTTGGTCATTTTCTTTAGCAAGAATTAGATTTTAATGTGAGTTTATACAAGTTAATGTTTCCTGATTCAATAGGTAAACATCTCCACAGGTGAGTATGTAAAAGATCAGTCAAAAGAAGGTTTAATTACTAATTTGCATAATTAAGCCCTATGCTCTGTGCTAATGAGGTATTGTTGCTACTGAAGTAAACAAGAATAACAAATTGTTGAATGGAACAGGAACCATTGTACAAAATTATCTCTGTTTCATCTCAGTGTCAGAGATAGATTGAAGTCATTGTATTACATTTACTAAGACATTTCATCAAATATTTGTGTTTTTGCTTTTATCTTCATTATTATTTATGCGTTTCATAAATACTTCCCAGCCATTTAAGCTATTTTTTAGCCTTGCAGCTAAACATGCTTTCCATAACATCTTGCTGTTGCCCACAATTTGCAGGTATAATGTTAGCATTAATACATTTAGCCATGTGTGCAAAAATGTGTTCATTTAAAAATAATATTAATAATTTAGCTCTTTTACAGGCAAACAACTTTTTGAGACAGAGATTTTTTTACTTCACCTTTGACTGATTAATTTTAAGTGTTTGGTCATTTAGAATGGCATCTCTTAAAGATCTAATAATTAAAAAAGTAAACTTATTTGATAAAACGACAATAAATTTGGCAGTATGTACTGTAAAAAAATGAAAGAGTACTTATTAAGCTCACCATACAAATGACTAAATTATACAGTTATTTATGTTACTGCATTCTGCACTAGTGCCCATTTTAATGTGTTGAAACACACACCCACATATTATAGCTGTTAATAAAATATGAATACATTAAAACTTTTCACTTTTTGTTGAGATATTGTTGCCAGTATTACAGAGTGCTAATTTTGTACAAGTTCTAACTGGTTATCTACATGATAAAGGGAATACATATTCCTTGTGTTGCATGGGATATGTGTGTAGTGTAATCTTCCTCTCTGTATTGGTTCTTTCTGGCTCTGCAGAGGCAAGCGCATTGCTGTGATTCTGTCTGCTGGTTTTCTAGTAGAGACATGCTGCTTTATCTGTTGACAGCTTTTGCATTCTCCTCGTCTTTAACTGTCCATTATTGGCACATAAATGTGATAGAACATGCCTCTATGGCATTGCAAGCAAAGCTAATTCATTAGAAAATGTGATTGGCTCTTCTGCAAGGTAAGCATTTTTTATTGCTGTCTTACCAGAGATGTAGGAGCCTTTTGCTGTACAAGCAGACATGTTATTATGGAACAGCTCAGGCTAATGGACAATGTATTTGATACATGTTCATGTGGAAATGTGTTGTTCTTGAGGACTGATTACGTGGCCTGACAACTGATTTTTGTATTATTGTGTCTGCGGTGGTATTACTCAGCAAAGCAAACTGTTGAAGCTTTAGTTTGCTTTTATTACTTAGAGAAAGGCAGGACAATTGTGAAAAAATGTTCTCTTTTATGGCAAATCAACAGGTAACATCACATATTGTAGTATTTTATGCTGTTTGTTTCTGTTCTATTATTTTAATTTCACATTTGTAAATTTAACAGATTTAGTGTAAAAACCTTAATGTGTTTTCGAGTACAAGTGGTTTCTGCAATTATTTCTAACTGATAAACAAGGCAGTTTTACTTTATTTATTTATTTATTTATTTATTTATNGTTATTAGTTAGTATCCTTGATGTGGCTTAAGCATTTTATTGGCTAAAATACTTGTTACAGATATTTACATATTGTTAGAGAGAAAAGTGTGTTAGTGAAATATGGTGAAGTGTTTTAAATAATTCCCTTGGGAGGGACAATCACAAAAAATTAAAACATATATACACTTTTTTTGTTATTGCTGGTGTAAGACAGATTAAAGACCTATTTTGCTCAATCTGATTTAGCTTTTAAGAACTAATTTCAAAATTTGTATGAATCAAAAACATCAAATAGGTCTTCAACACCAAATACGTACAGTAGGAAATGAGAATGTATATATAAATACTGCAAGTGTGGTAAAAAGTAAAAAGGAGCATGCCTCAAAAGCACAGCTGTAAAATTACAATTAGTTGGTTATGAGTTGATTTATTTGAATAGTTTTTCTTTTTACTTATTATAGGTTTACATGTCATAATAAATCGATCTTGGTTGTCCATTATACAATACTATATTTTACCTACAATATTGTGAGGATTATGAAAAACATTATTTTGGCACAAACTTATCCAATCAACACCAAAACCTTTGGTTAAGAAACATATGAGATTACTTTTTGGACTTTTATTGTGTCTTCCTCAGGTTTTACATAGTGTGTTTATTAAGTTTAGGTTATCTTTATGCTTCATTTACAGAAGGAATGGCTGTGTCTGAACTGCCAGACTCAGAGAGCCTTGTCAGGAGCACTGGGAGATGCAGGAATGATTCCTCAACCTTCACATTTGGCTGCCAAGCAAGAGACCCGGGCTAAACCTGCAACAAATATCACAGAGCCCAAAACTGCACCCACAAAAGTAGAGACCAAAACTTCAGCCACAAAACCACAACCTGTTCCCACTCAAACCAAGACAATAGAAATACCACCAACTACAAAAGCAAAAGCAGAATCAGTCAAGATGGAAACCACTAAGTCCGTACCTTCCAAACGAAGAGAATCTGAAACAACACCAACATCTATAAAAGTAGAGCACCCTACTGAAGCCACAAAACCACAACCTGTTCCCACTCAAACCAAGACAGTAGAATTACCACCAACTACAAAAGCAAAAACAGAATCAGCCAAGATGGAAACCTGTGAGTCCATACCTTCCAAACAAAGAGAACCTGAAACAGCACCAACACCTTCTGCTGCAGGAAAACAACCTTCTACAACTACACTGGAACAATTAATACCAGAGGCTGCATTGCCAAATGCCAAATTACTTAAGGCTGAAATAATGCAAAATAAAGATGAGATAGTGGTGATGGATAAAAATATGACAGAAACCTCAAAATTCCAAGAGTCTAAACCTGATCTTCTCAAAACTGAAAGTGATGCAGAACCATGTAAACCTCCTGTTTCAAGGTTTGAGGACAAACATGTCCCCATAGCTCCTTGTGATGCAAAAGTTGTTCCAGAGAAGGAATCAAAACCAGAACACCTTGTTCCAGAGAGTATAGTTCCAGAGGTTCAACATTTAGATCAAATCCAACTGAAAGAACCAACAAGTTCTCTGCAGCAAGTTCAACTGCCACTGAAGTCACAAGAACATCAGGCAGCAACAGAAGAAAAATCGACTGTGGCAGCTGAAATCAAGAAAGTGGTTATCACAGAAGAAAAGATTGACATTATCTCAACTCAAGAGTCTCAACCAGTGTCTACAGTAAGAATGATTCAGTTTTTGTTAATGTTATTAGAAGTTAAACATTATATTAGATGTTGGTTCTTTAGTGTAGCTGACTGAATCCAAAAAGAGCTACCTATTTCTGCAGTTTTTACATAACCCACTGATTCTATTTTAAAGACCTGTGATGACTTTAAACTATGAATGCATTTTTTCCTTTAAATTGTTTTTGTTAAAATTTAAACTGACAGACATTGTGCAAACTTTGTCACATTTTCACATGGTTAAAAAGCTGTTTTATTTTGTGCATAAATGCTGTGAAGATGTGTCTTTCAGCTCCAGTCCAAGGTTTCCGTTACAATGAGCAACTCATGAGCTCAAAACTTGTTTCATTTTATTGTACATGTACAATGTACTAAGTGTAGTATGTTATTAATCACTGCTTTCTTTTCATTTTTTTTTCAGGATAAACGTGAAACAGATGAGATTTCAATGATTAAAAGAAAGATTTCAACATCTAACGAGGAAGCTCAAATGAAGATCTTAGCTGTCCCTGTAACAAGGGTTAAGAACAATCTCCAAACAGAGGAGTCAGATGAAGATCAACCCCAGATTTTACCTGTAGTTCATGAATTGAGTGACTTGCATTTAAGTGATGCAAGAAAAAATGATATAAATATAGATCCCACTATGCCAGTAGAGGAAAAAGTTAAATCAGAGAGAAGACGCCTGAGTGTACAAGCTATGGATGAGAGCAGTGAAAGTGACCTCACGCCATCTTCCCCCCATGTTCAAAGAAAGATCCTGAAAGTTAGCACTATTTCATCCAGCAGTGAAGATATCAAAACAGAAAGTGCTGATTCCTCCATTGAGGAAGACGATTTCATCCGCAAGGAGATTATGGGTATGGGAGGAGAAAAGCAAATGTCTGTGTCAGAAGATGAGAAAGAAGACAATATGGCAAATCTAGAAGATATCAAGATCACTAGGCTTGATAATGCTTCTATACCAGACAAATCTCTATTGCAAAAAGCTGACACAGAAACTACTACTGGGGTCACTACAACTCTTCAAAATATTCCAGAAACAACCACAACCACATTCAAAAAAGCTATTCCAGCCATGAGGCAAAGACAAAGCACTGATGAAGAAGTTGAGAGCATTACAGAATCTCTATCAAAGGGTTCATCTAGTGTTCAGGCATCGAGCATAACTCCAGGATCTTCACCAACATCAGTTTCATCTTTGGAAGAAGACAGTGATAGCAGTCCCCATCACAGGAAAGTTAGAGACAAAAAACATCGTAAAGAAAGACACAAACAACCACCCCAGCAGCTACCCACCATTGAAAACTCCTCTGAAGAAGAAAAAATGAAGACACATAGTGAGCCATTGTCTTCTTCTGAAAACGCATCATCTACAGAAGATCTAAAGCAAGTAACTGTAATAGACAAAAGTCATAGAACATCTGGCTCTGAGTACTCTGTCAATTTAGAATCAGATCCAGAGATTAGAACAGCAGTACAGAGAGGACGTAAACCTTCAGCTACAGTCATACCGTACACCCCATCTGATCAATTTAAAGAAAGGGACCCCATACCGAAATCATTAAAGAGTGCTGATGAAGCATATGAAGAAATTATTCAGAAAACAAAATCTATTCCAGGGGAGAGTCCTCCAGATATTGAACCACTTTATGGAGGAATGGCAATAGAAGATTATCTTTACGAGTCCTTAGTTGAAGAACCTGAAATCAAACAAAGTGAATTTCAAGAAGAAGAATCACAACTTGATACTGGCTCTCAATTGCTCAAAAAGCTTAGATCCCCAGAGGAGGTTTATGAAGAGATGATGCAGAAAAAGAGGGAATTAATCATGATAGAGCAAGAATTCCAAGAAGCCCAAACAGCATTGGAATTTTCCTCACCGGAGACGTTGGTCCACACGCCTCCATCAGAGGCTGAAACCTGTGTGGTGACCATATCTACAGAAGAAACACATGTCACTAAACAGATTTATACACCTCCCCCAGGCATGGACACTTTAACTGAATTTCCTGTAAAGAAAAAGAAACGTCCAGCACCTCCACGGCCTTCTGAACCCCCTAAACGTACTGCAGTAACAGCTGTTCCAACTACCCAAAGTGGATCTATAAGTTTTGTAAGACCTATGGTTCCTCAGGATCCTGCGCTAAGGAAGGCTTTGTTTCCTATACCAGATCTTAAGATTACTCAGTGCTCATCCGGTGAAGAAGAGGATGATAGTCTTGCGGATGAATATGCTATAGGCATTTCCTCTGACATTACCCCTAGTGATGACTCTGATGCTAAAGATGACCCATCTCCAAGTCCACCATTGTCTGAAACCACTGAAATGGATCCCATTTGTGTGGTCTGTGAAATGCCAGAACCAAAACCAATTCCAATTCCAATATCAGCTCCAGAACTAACCACTACACCTTCTACAGTATCACCGGTTTCAGTCCCAACTTCACCAGCAACGCCAGATTCCAGTTTGGCTTCTAATGCAACCTCTTCTTCTTCATTTCAGCCTCAAACACCTCTTTCCTCAGATTCAACTCCACTTTCCACACCAACACCCCCAACATCTTTTAAAGACGAGTTGCTTTCAGACTCCTCAGTGCCGTTGCCTGACACAGTTGCAACAGAACAATTAGATGAAACCTTATTCCCTTGTCCAGCTTCCACCGCTGTTATAGTTACTATACCAGATTTGGTCTCTGAACCATCCAAATCTCAAGCTACGGATGAATTTAAATATAAGTCTTTTACAGCTATAGCTCCAACTCCACCTACAGTGCAAACATCTATTGCTGAATCTGGTAAGGTTCAAATGCCAGACTTGGTTTCGTCTCCGTCGCAGGTTCCTAATAAAGCCACAGGTGTTTTACAAGTGTCAGCGCCAAGCTCAGCCCCTGTTGTTGTCTTATCTCAGAGTACTGCCCAAGTTACAGCTACACCTGTCATAGTTACAACTCCAGTTTCAGTCATCGATGTTTCATCCTCTGTCAGTATGGTATCATGTCTTGAGCCAGTCATAATCCAGATGCCTGACCTGGTTTCAACAACAGCACCAGTTGCTGGACAACCCCCCAAACCAATTTCAGCTCTAATAACTACCCCAGCTCAAGCCCAAGCTAAAGTGGTACACTCAGTTCCCATACAGCCAGCGGTTCCATTAATGAGACCAATGATAGTCTCAGCACAGTCAGAGCAAGGCCCTCCATTAGCTTCAGCATCCACTACTGTTATCAAAAAGAAGGTCCCACCACCCCCTCCTCCTCGATCTACTTCTGTATTGTTGCCTGAGATTTCCAAAGAAATACCTGTTACAAAGACTGTTGTTGCATCAGCTACATCAGCTATTGAAAGCACAATGGTTGCCCAGCCAATGCAATCAGTAGTTGTAGATATACAGCCAAGAATGGAAGTAAATCAATTTGACAGTGCATATGTACCTCAAGTAGTGACTCCAGCTAGACATGGACATGTAGTCATCATTGTGCCAAGTGTGGAAAACATACCTTCACTTGGACCTGGACAGACTACTCAAAATGTAGATAACACAGATACAAAAGTTGCTGCACATGCATATGGTACTACCCATCCAATTTCAGATATACCCAGAACAGATATATCCTCACTACCTCTTAGAGCATCAGCTGTACTTACAGGTCCACCGTTTCCACCTAAAACCTCAGTGGAAGTGAAAGTTGCACCTAGTATACCTAGTGCAGATTTATCACCATCACCTCCCTCTACTTTACCTAAACCAGCTGTTTACCCAAAGTCATCAGTTCCCACTCCAGTCACAAATTCTACAGTAACAGTTCCACCAGTTTCCGTAGCAATGTCTGGTTTTTACCAAGCCTCCAAGCCTCCACCACCAATACCACCTAAGCCTGTATCAATTCCAGCTGGACTCATTTTCAGCCACAAACCAGGAGAGCATGTCAAACCACCTCCTCCTCCTGTGGCACCAAAAGCAGCAACACTGCCCAGGATGAAAGAACCTCCAAAAGCTCTGTCTCTTAGCCTTACACGTCCTGTGGAGTCTAAATTTGGAGCAACGTCTCCTAAATCACCTTTGTCCCCTAGACATGCCAAATGTTTACAAACGTATGTGGTGATTACGCTTCCTTCTGAGCCTGGATCTCCAACTGAGACAGTAACAGTCCAGGCACCTATTAGACGAGGATCCATCCCATCTTCAAAAGTTTCAAAGGTACGGACAACACAAGCTGAGCAGAAAACACCAACTGAGGCTTTTTCAGCACAGGTTACAGTAAGAAGAGCCTCTGTTCCCACTGTAAAGCATTCTCCTCCAGTTAATGTGGCCTCAACTTTAGCTGTACAGCATGTCACAACCTCTGACGTAGTGGCTGCAGATATACAAACAAGGAGAGACTATTTTCCCACTGCTGTGAAACCACCATTTCCTGTGGCTGATGTCGTTACAGTATCATCAGACGAAGGTTCTCCCATTCAGGCTCATGCTGTTGTTCCTCCAATTAAGAAAATATATATGGAGCAACAACAACCAATGTCTCAGCCACCACCCACAGATATGTCAGAAGTCACAATGCCCCCAAAAGAAAAAGTTTATGCTCTGCCTCATATAGACCAAATCATTGCAAGAGAACAGTTTGCATCATTTGTTCCTGAGCAACCAAGCATAGTCCCAGATGCTGAAACAATTCCTTCAACAATTTTGCCAGAAGAAGTGTTTCAGCAAGCACCAAAACCTATTTCACCCATGCAAAAAGTGTCTTTGACAGAAATTGTAGTTGTACCATTGCAGCCTAAACCACTGTTAGATGATGTGGTTTTTCAGGATGGAATAATTTCAGGGCACTCAGCCATTCCTCAAGAAGATTCAACACAAATAGAAGTGATACAGAAAGAACAGGACAGACTTACTCATGTCTTTGTCACAGACACAGTACCAATAAAAACATCAGTACCAAACCTTAAAGTAATGTCTGATCTCCCAGCAGCAGCACAATTAGTTCAAGATGCAGAAATTATGCCCATAGTAAAAGAGGAAATTCCTACACAGCAGGTAAATCTTGTTACTGAAAGAGCGACTCTCCCTACAAAGGCTGAATATTCCATAGAGCTCTTTGACACTTGTGTTAGAATGCCAGAGGTTGCTGTGGTTTCTCCAGTACCTCAACCTGTCACAGTAGTGGCTGAAATCACACCAAAACCTCGAACTTCTCAGGTATCACCAATACCTACAGTAGCTGAAATGGAAACTCATGCAACTTCTGAAACAACACCACCATATCTTGTGATGGAAGATCAACAAATGGCAACACACTCAAATGTTACTAATCTTCCACAGGAATATGAGATAATTGCATCCTCAGTAATGGCACATTCAGTGCCATCACTGGAGAACAAAACTTTACAGCTTGGATATAAAACACCTACTGAAATTATTACAAATGATACAAATGAAAGAACACATTCAATGTATTTATCAGAATTACAATATCATACAATGACAGGAATCCCAGTTATTTCATCTGAAGAGACTAAATGTAGAAGAACATCCATATCATCTACAGAACAACCACAATACATGACAAGCGATGTATTTGCCTATTCTGCAGAGTATGAAATGCCTCTGGAAGGGGTTACAGCTGAGGCCTTTGCACAAATACTAAAAATACCAGCTGAAAAAGATGTTCCCACAACTGACTATGCAGCTGAAGTCTACAGGAGTGAATACATCCCATCAACAGAACAACAACCACAGTTATCACCTTATTCATCTGAATATGAATACCCTGTTGAAATATTAACCACTGAGGAATATGCCAGGAGAACCTCAATGCCCCCTGCACAGGACATTGCATCTGTAGCACCAGTCACAATCACTAAAATTCAACAAGAGTCAATAGAGAGCCAAGAGGTTAGAGGAACAGAAAAAGTGGTTTCTAGTATGAGTCACATGTATTCTTCCTCCATTTCCACCTCAGGCCAGCCTCCTGAAAGCCTGTCTAGCCTAGTCACTCAGGTGGTCACCACTGAAGTTCAAAGGACAACTGTTTCTGTTGTTCATGAAAGACTTCCACAGGTCCATCCACAAAGTGTATCAATCACTGTACAACCAGACATAGCAAAAGTCCAACCTTTACCTAAGCAGAATGGTAAAATAATCTATCCTGGTGATGTTATTGATCTGCGTACTATCAAGTCTGGCATAAAGATGACAGACCAAGGCATGGACCTTACTCCACCTATGTCATGTCGTCAGTCTTTTTCAAGTGACTCTAGTGGACATCAAAGCACTGCAGTGCAGCCTGAAATAGTTAATCTCAGTGCAGAAATTACCCCTACAACAACTTTGTCTGTTGTCACGGACAGCATTACAATAGTAACATGTACAGCCACGATTGCTTCATATAGCAACACTCCAGCAGAGAAACCACTTGATTTGCAGGGCCCTGTTGCGTCATTGCCTGTGCCTCTCACCACATACAAACCATTTGAACCACTAGCACAAATCATATACAGACCTGTAAAGACCCCACCTATGTATAATACAACAGCATCTACAGCTCAAGACCTACCCATCAATCTGTCCTATGAAGGACTTGTCTCCTCTGCAGGAAAACAGCCACTGACTTCAGCGCAAACAGTTATCAGCAATGGAGGTGCAGTTCTTGCACTTGAGGCTACAGGAGCCATGGATTTGTCAAACTACAAGCCGGTAAAAGCTATGGTAGCTTTGTCTGGCACAAGCCCAGGAGTAGTGACCTCCATTATAGAGGATGATGGAGTTCCTGTGGACCTTACTGCTGGTCGGAGAAGCATCTGCTGTGATGTAATTTATAAGCTACCATTTACAGGAAGCTGTAGAACACAGCCACCCGTTACAAACCAGCCTGACAAAAAACAGCCTGACAATCGTTTTGGATACAGGGATGATCACTATCAATACAATAATGCTGGACTGTACAGCATAAAAGGAACTAATGGAATAAAAGCATCAGTGTCTGACAACAGTCTGACAGAAGCAGGACTGTCCATGTATGATTTCAAAAATGACTATGACTACCTCACTGGATCTTCTGATGGTGCCATAGACTTAACTGCTACTAAACTTTCAGCTGGTGAGTGTATTTTTTGTAGTCAGTATTTTGTTACTGTACATGTGCTTAATCAGCTTTCATTTGCCTGAGATTTTAAAATTTTATTTAGCAATGTTATTTTTTTCCTTTAAGACATTTGGCATTCATTTGATGTTTAATGCATGTGATTGTTTTAGATTTAAGACTGTCCATATTGACATTTTCTTATATGTTCAGTTTGTTTTGCTTTGTGTGAAGCATTTATTTCTTAAATAACAGCTGCACATTTTCTTTTTTCTTTTATACAGATGCATGTGTGTGCCTGCGTGTTCTCCCGCAGTACTTTGGTTTTGCATCTTGCTAGCCAAAATAACCTCAAATTTGCATGTATAGTTGAGCTCTATTTTCTTTTCAAATTGCACGATCCTCACAATAAACTGTACTGTTTATTTGTTCCTGAAATTACAAGTTAACCTAAAATGTAAAAATATCTATGTTTGCTTATTGTGACAGGTGAAGCCCTTGACTACACTAGCAAAGCAACCAGAGTCTACCCTGCCATTACTGCTCCATACTCCCAGGTCTCTGCAGCTGGGTTTGGTGTGAACAGTGCTCTAAGAACATCAGATGGAATAGTTTATTCTTCAGTTTCTGCACCAGTTCCATCAACTTATGCTATTACAACTCAGCCAGGTTCCATCTTTAGTACTACTTTAACACCTACATCAAAAGTCCAAGACCAGTCCTTACTCCCCTATTATGGCTTTATTCCTACTACAGACCCAGGGCAGTTAGTTCCTTTTGAGGCTGAGCTATCTAAGGAACTCCTCCCTCCAGTTTTGGCTGACATCATAACTGGCTATCCAGAGATGTACTCAGACACCACCCTGGAAGCAATTGCTGCTTCTTTAGATGCCCTAGCTTCTTCTCCAATATTCCCTGGCTTAGACAACACTAAGATGGCTCAATATCAGATGGAGAGGGAGTTTTTAGAGCTAGAGAAGCTTAAGCAGCTATGTCTTGCTGAGGAGCTGGAGTGGGAGAGGCAGGAAATCCAGCGTTACAGAGAACAGGAGCAGCTTATGGTCCAGAGGGAACTTGAAGAACTTCAAGCTCTAAAACAGCAGCTTCTCCTTCAGCAAGAAGAAGAGCATCATGCCCACATGGTAGCCCAGCAAGAGACTTATGCTCAACAGAAAGAGCAGTTGCAACAAATCCAACAACTCCAACTTCAACTCCAGCGGCAGCTAGATGAGCACTATGGTACCACTGGATCAACAGGAAACATTTTAGAAGCTAAATATGCAGGAGTAGGAGACAGTGGTCAGTATTGGCCTGTCAAAGATGAACCTATACATACAGAAGAAAGTCATCTTAACTTAGTAAAGCTTCAAGCTGATCAGGACCTTGGGAAAAAAATACTTGATAGTGGAGTGCAAACAGATGACGAAGACTCAACAGAGAAGCAGCATATGGGAAGAAAAAAGAAGATTAAGAAAACCATTGAAAGCTCAGCTCAGTCTGATGATGAGGACCAAGATGAATGGGATGCTCCCACTAAAGTTCGACGACGCTCTCGAAAGCATAGTAATGAGGGGAAACATGGCTCCAAAGTGTCTAGCATTGCCATTCAGACAGTGGCAGAAATATCTGTTCAGACTGACCATTCTGGAACTATTAAACGACCCAATGTACAAATGGATACAAAAGTAGAAATCATTAAGCACATATCAGCTCCAGAAAACTCTCATAGAGGCGGCAGTCTGAGTTGTCAGACAGATTCAGACAGAAGGCATTCACCCATTGAGGTGGGCTACAGCACACAGCTGACAGCAGATATCCCCTCTAAATCTAAAGTGCTCTACACTTCAGTTTCTTCCTTATCCCCTGAAAAGTCATATGGAGGGCAGAGAATGTTAACTGCTGATCCAACCAGATTTTCTTCTGGCCCTCGGATATTAAAAGCTGGTCAGAAGTCTCTGTCTGATCCTAAATCACTCAGTCCTTCAACAGAAGACAGAATCGGAGGCTACTACACTGACAGCTATTCTGTAAGTCTTTAAAAGCCTTTTTAATAAAATACTATGTAATATCAAAAATTTAAATGGGTAATTCATATGTGACCCATCACATCGAAACGAGGATTAAGTCCAAAAGTGGGATGTGGAAAAATAGGCAGATATAGGGTTTTAATTTAAACGTGCAAAAATTGCATTTTGTCAAAATGTAATGAATAAATGCCTTATCAATTATTTTTTTGAATGAACTGTCTGAAATATAATCCTAAAAAAACATTTTTGAAGCATTTTTTGAGCAGGAGCAACAAAAACCCTGATTTTGAGGAAAAACGCCTTAAAATTTGAACATTTTCATTGAGAGCTAGCAATGTTTTTGTTTCTTTACAACTGGGAAATCTTAACATACAAATACTATTTGAGGTTTCCTCTTTACATTAACATCAATAATTACTCAACAAGTTTACATAAAATAAAGATTTAGACCTAACAGTAAAGTGTTATCATAACCAACAAGACAAATTAAGTCATATCTCTGGATAAGCTGATGACATCAGTATGATCCAGGTATCAAAATGTAGCTTTTAAAGCAGGAATCTGAAAATGTAATTAGGTCATTTTGACTAAATTTGACTTAATCCTCATTTCGATTTGATGGGTCACATATTCAAATATGTTAAAAACCAGAGAAGAGAACCAAAGAGCATAAAATAAAACAAGTCTATTGCAGTAGTATTTTACAACATTATACACTGTATTTATATTTATTTATACTTTTTAGGGTCGCGGTTCTCCTTCTAGTACCAGTAAGAAAGTAAAGCGAACACTGCCAGACCCCCCTCCTGAGGATGACTCTCTGAGTGGAAGGTCAGGCTACAGCACCAACTCTGCTCGTCGCCGTCTTGCACGCAGCACAACATTGGCCCGGGCAAAGATCCTGCAAGACATCGATAAAGAACTTGACCTGGTCGAGAGAGAATCCTCTAAACTTCGCAAAAAGCAAGCTGAGCTAGATGAAGAAGAAAAGGAAATTGATGCTAAGTTGCGGTGAGTTGCTACACATTTAACCAAAAAGCAGTTAGCTGAGGGATGAAAGTTTTGTTTTTCTTTGTGACATTATTGCATTTAGAAATACTAATATCAAACAATAACAAATCATTTTACAGGTGCCATTGAATTCATACATTTTTGCCATTCTTATGTTTTTCATGTGCATGATTTCATTTTTCACCTTGATAGCTTATGGGCTAAAAGACTGCCTTGACAACACTCAGTGAGACCTCTCCACTCTTAAACATAGTAACAGGTACAAATGTGTGAGAAAATGGAATATTGTTTTCCATTTCTATAGTGTGCCTAGAGAACTATTAGTGCTTTAATTGTGAAACACTTCTTTTTTGCTACTTTAGGTATTTGGAGATGGGTATAAATCGCCGAAAGGAAGCCTTGTTGAAGGAAAGAGAAAAGAGAGAAAGGGCCTATCTTCAGGGTGTGGCAGAGGAACGAGACTACATGTCAGACAGTGAGGTTGGCAACATCAGAGATACTAGTGGCGAAGGCCTTGAGAGACCACGGACTGCTCCACGGTCAGAGTTTGATCAGTTCATTCCTCCACAAACTGAGGCTGATTCCCAGTACAACACACTAACTAGTCCCTACTCACACTATGGTCAATATGTGCCTCAGACCCAAACCACCAGTCACTACACTCAGCAAAATTTGTACCAGCAGCAGTCCCTATACCATCAACAGGTGTCTCCTTACCCAACACTCTCCCTCTCCCATGGCCAGGCTCAGTCGAGCACCTACCAACACGCATTGCTCATGCAGCAAGGAAAGCAGCGTCAAACCACCCTGTCAGAACTGGGGCCTAAAATTACCTCCAACTATGAGGTGATTCGCAACCAACCTCTACTCATAGTGCCAACCTCTTCAGAAAGTGGCTATGGAGTGGCTCACTTAGGTGGGAAATATGGCAATTTAGACTTAAGGGTGGGATTAGAAGAGAGGAGCATGGCCTCTAGTCCCATGTCCAGCATTTCTGCTGATTCCTTCTATGCTGACATTGACCACCACAATGCCAGGAACTATGTCCTTATAGAGGACATAGGGGAGCTCACCAAAGCCTCAACAGGGCTGGGCAGTAGTGGACTGGGATCTGGATTCAACCTCCCTGATAAGGAGCTATCAAAAGCCGACAGACTGCTCAGGGCAGCAGAAGCAAGGCGCACCGCAGAGGTAAATACTGTGTTTTGTATCAGATTATATTTTACACCATCTTCACCTTTTCATGTCTACATTTAAGCTGCTTGTCAATCACTTTTCTTTCTTTATTTTGCTATGTTTCAGCCTGTAAAACTGCAAACTAAACAAACCTTGTAAAAATGCAAACATTTTGTCATATTTTCTTATGCAGTGATGTCATCAATATTAATAGGATTAAGACAAAAATATTAGTTATGACTTATTGATAACAGAATCCTAAATGCTTTAGTTTCACTGTAGCTACTTTTAGCAAATACTTGCTTTGGAAGCACTGTCTAATCTTCTACAAATAGAATTCAATTTAGCCAGATTGAGAGGAGGAAAGTGACTGTTACTGCTTAAAAATCCTAAACTGGATTACATTTTTTCCTACATTTTAGGTGGCAGAATTTTTAGGCACGTCACGTTATGGAAAAGGAGAAGATGATGCTATGGAGGAGCCTTATGAGCTGAAGCTACTGAAGCAGCAAATAAAGCAGGAGTTCAGGCGAGGAACAGAGGGGCTTGAACACTTAACAGGCCTTGGCCTTCCCCAGTATCTTTCAAGCGATAGCAGTTTGCGCCATTTTCCAAAAGGGGAGAAATACAGCATTGGTAGACTTACTCTTGAAAAACAGGCTGCAAAGCAACTTCCGGCTGCAGTGCTTTACCAAAAACAGATGAAGAACAAAAAGGCCCTTTTAGACTCCAAAGCTATTACAAAATTTTCCCCAATTCAGGAAAGTCGAGATCTTGAACCTGAGTTTGGTAGCTACATGGGGTCTGGAGCTTCCTCTGTGTCCAGTCTGGCAGCTAGGGCAAGGTTACTTCAGGATGAAATTACATTTGGGCTTAGAAAAAACTTGTCTGAGCAGCAAAAATATTTGGGTTCTTCCCTTGGGTCCAACCTTTCTGGTTCTCTTAATATCGGGCAGTCCCTTAGCCTTGGATCAACTGTTAGGGCCACCACTCATGATGATGGCACTTACCCAAGTGGCACTAGATCCCGTCCCTCCTCTCGCCCCTCTTCCCGCCCATCTTCTGTCTATGGCTTGGATCTTTCCATAAAAAGGGATCTCTCCAGTTCCTCACTCAGACTTAAAACGGAAGGGGAGGTCTTGGATGCAGCATTTGCCCCTGGAGTCTCCAGAGCAAAGCCCACCAGTTTACCTATCAGCCAAAGCCGGGGCCGCATCCCCATTGTGGCTCAGAATTCCGAGGAGGAAAGCCCTCTGAGCCCAGTGGGGCAGCCTATGGGTATGGCTAGAGCATCTGCTGGTCCACTTCCTCCTATTTCTGCTGACTCTAGGGACCAATTTGGGTCTAGCCATTCCCTGCCAGAAGTACAACAACATATGAGGGAGGAATCTCGTACACGGGGCTATGATAGAGACATCGCATTCATCATGGATGATCTCCAAGGCGCCATGTCTGACAGCGAAGGTAAATGGAGTTTGAGACTGTTGCAGCAATTCAACTGTGCAGACCTGCTTGCTATGCATGCAAATTCAGAGTGGTCGTACAGACTTTGTGCGTCAAGTGGTTCTTTCAATTACCAGTGAATCAGATATACCGGTGTGTATATATATATATTTTTTTTTTCTGCATTTTCCTCTGTTGTGGTAAACATTACATTAGATGTATGCATGCCCTTCCTTTCTTTGATAAAACAAACTCGCCAATACATAATACTCTTGACCTGAGTTTATGTATGTCACCAATCAGTTTTATCTACTTTGAATCTGTGATTTCATTTGCATGCATTCATTCAGAATTTATTTTTATCTTCTTTTCAAAATTAAATAATCATTTACATTTTCAGAACTCTTCAAAAAATCATGTAAACCATCAAACCATATTTTATAGTCAAAGACAGATTCAGACAGATATATTAAAGTAACAATGCAGCATTTGAGTAATTTTGCATGGTAAAAAGTGACTTCAAATGGAAGAAAGTTTTGCACAAAGTTAAGTTTTGTGTTGTAAATTTTCAAACTGATATATATATATG